TTACACATGCTGCATAACTGGAAGCTAATTCCCAGGTTGTTTTGGGTTTTTTTGCAAGCTTGGAGCCCCTCTGCAGTAACGGTACCGCACGGGTGGCTAAGGAGGAGGCAGAGAGCCCTGGGAGCACCGAGCCGAAGCCTCGTCGGGGGCTGCGAGCTGAGCCCTCGCAGCAGCTCCTGGACGCACCTTTGGAGTTGTGCTGCCGAAAGAGCTGCCTCCCGACTGAAGAAGAACAGATGCGTTTTACCACCCATCAATCTGTGTCTGTCTGGGTCCTCACGCGGCCCCCATCATCGTCCTATTCAAGAGCCTGCAAAGCATTTAAAAATAGCGATAACGCTAACAATCTCTCTTTTCTTTCCTCCCCAGCTTGTAGCAGAAATAGCTTGATTAGTGTACGGTTCTGGTGCTTCAAGGGGGAGAGAAATGAAACTGCAGAGCTTGCAGAGCGGCTTTTCAGCTTTCTTCAGGCAGCAATTGCCGGCTGCTTCGCTCAAGCACAGGCTCTTCAAAGGATGGCAGGTTTCAGATCAAGGACTGCTCGTTCTCTCACACGTCTTCTGAGGCAGATTTACAGTGAGGAGAGAGGCGTTGCCGCAGCTTTGGACCTTGGGAGAGATGCACCTGACCCCCCTCCCCACCTCCTGGCGTCGCTCCTTCACCACATCCAGTAGGCTGGGAAGAAAAGGAGTTTTGGGGAGGGGGTCTGGAAGGGTGGCTAGGCAAAAGATAGCTCAACAGGCTCTCTGAAAATACGATCAGGCAGTTGCCTGACCAGGGGCTCGGCAGGCAAGAGCACTGAGGTCTCACCCTTCTCCCTCAGACACGGATTTCAGGGGTGACTTTGAGGGAACCACTTGTCTTTCACTGAATTTCACTGATTTTTTAGAGTTGGAAGGGACCATAGAGATCATCTAGTCCAACTCCCCTGCCAAAGCAGGACCACCCAGAGCTTGTCAGAGCATGTTACTCAGGACTGCATCCAGGCGGGTCTTGAAAATCTCCAGAGAAGGGGACTCCACAACCTCCCTGGGGCAGCCTGTTCCAGGGCTCCGTCACCCTCACCGTGAAAAAGTTCTTCCTTATATTCAAGTGGAACCCTTTATGTTCCTGTCTTCTCCAGGGCTCACCCCCACTCTCAGCAAAAAGGGGGTGCCAGCTCCGCAGCTCACAGGGGAGTTTTCACCCGCTTTAGCCCATGCTGTATTTTGAGATTGGCATTTTCAGAGGCAGCGGGGTGCTGCTCCCCAGCAGTGCTTTACGGGCCATCTCAGCTGTGGGCATGACTCTCGACTGACCTTTTCTGTATGCTTCCCTCCCGCCCCTACAACCTCTCTCTGCCCTTCCTCCGGGGCTGCTGGCAGCTCTTCTTCACCTTTTGTTTGTGAAACACACCACGCCAGCAACGGCTCGGCTCTGCTCGCTTCTCCCCTGCTCCCAGTGCAATGAAGAGGCAAGTTCTCAGCGCAGCTGCTGACAGATGGGTACCCACAGCACAGCATCACACACCTGCCCACTGCAGAGGACACTGTCAAGGTCCCTGCTGCCCTGTAGCTAAATCCCTTGGCAAAAAGGGAGGATGGGAAGTGAGAACAACTCGATCCCACAGTCCTAGAAGGTGCCTCAGACACCCACGGTGCCGGGCACTGCTCGTAGGAGCAGCAGCAGGAGCGGGGAGCTGGGAGAGCAGCCACTCAGCCCAGATGGAGTAGGACCTCAGGAGGCTCACAGCACCGAGGCACAGCTTACTGCTTTGCTGCACGAGTCAGCGAGTGTTTTTCCACCGCGCTGTTTCCTCTCCTCTGACCTACTGCTGCCAAGACTCAGGGATGTGGTCTGTGGGTCTGCCTCAAGGCTGACACAGCATCAGGCCCCTCAGGGCACGGCGGCGAAAAAGCAAGAAAAAGCAAACTGCAGGAATAAATTGCGTGCAGATCGCATCGGCAACCCTTGCCAGCAGCATCTCTTCCAGGATCTCGAAGCACTTATCGCCTGGGAAGGAGCTTAGCTTTGTGGCCACCTCAGGATGGAGATTTCATGGAGCTTTTCACACTGTGTTGTGCTTTCAGTGGAGGAAGTGTGGGGCAGACAAAGGGGCAGATGGCCTAGGAAGGCACAGCGTGCTGGGGCAGAGCTGCCACCCAGAGCACCGGGGTGTGGATTGCTGTATTTGTCTGGGCTGGACACAACCGTGGTGGTGATAGAAGGAGGAAGGTCTTACCAGTGCAGCAACTCCACTGCCACATGGCTGGGAACACAGCCTGCCCCAGGCAGTCCTTTCAGGAGGGATAAGGATGGTTATGGCACACTGGATATCCCACTGTCCCCTCCAATAAATCTACTCTGGCTGCTCTAGCCAAGAGAAACAGCCCTGCACAGACTCACCTTCCCCAGACCTGAGTCTCAGTTCAGAAGTGTGCTGTTTGGGTCAGGAGCTGGCTCTGACCCCGTGGGGAGAGCATGCTCCTGCAGTGCAAACCCTCAGCCCTTCCAGTCCAACCCTGGGAGGCACTCCCTGAATGGTAGCTCTGCATGTAGCAGTGAAACAGTCATGTCAAAGGTTGTGGACAGAAAAAGGGAGAGCCTGGAGCATATATAAGCTAAGCCTGAGTGGTTTGGGCTTCCAGACTGGCCAGCAGTCTTGGATCTTATCTCTTCTTCTTGCCTTTGCACTCAGAAGAGATTGCCTGGAGCCAAAGTCCTTCTTAACCAACCTCTCCAAGAGAGGTCCAGTGGTCAGGGTGTTCACCCAACTCACTCACAAGGTGTCTGTGGCTGATAACCAGTCAGATATCTCCTCCACACAGAATCACAGAAAGAAAGGGGTTGGAAAGGACCTTCAGAGATCATCAAGTTCAACCCCCCTGCCAAAAGCAGGTCCACCTAGAGCAGGCAGGACAGGAAGGCATCCGGGTGGGTTTTGAATGTCTCCAGAGAAGGAGACTCCACAACCTCTCTGGGCAGCCTGTTTCAGTGCTCTGCCACCCTCAAAAGTAAAATAGTTTCTCCTTACATTCAGGCAGAATTTCATGTGTCTCTTCCCCAGCCCCAGAAGAATAATGGTTCTGCCCTGTCCCTGGGGATGCCAAGAGACTCTGTGCCTTGCAGGATGGGGGGAATCAATTTCTCTGGTGCAGGTTTGCCTAAATTCAAGGTGCTGCAGAGCTGGAGCACCCCAGCTAGCTAATTCTTGAAGCAGGGTAATGTTTCTGCCAGTAGTGCAGGATTAATTCAAGCTTCTGCTGAGCCATCTGCGGGGAAGCGTCTCGCCATTTCCTGACACCCACATGCTGGCTTTCAGCCCTGAGCATGCAAGACTCTTCTGGGTGACTCTTCTGGAGAGCCTGAGGACTTTATGCCTCCGATACTGAGGATGGCTGAGGGGAGGGGGTGAGGGGGAGGTAGGGGATGGTGGGTACACGGGCAGATGCATGGGTGGATGGAGGGATAGCTTCCTCCTAATGAGGGCAGCCTGGGATGCCAGGGCAGGATACTGCCAGCCCTGGACACACTTGGTGAAGGAGAGCAGCAGTTCCTACCCAGCTCTGGCCAAGGGAGGGGTGCGTGAGGACACATGCACAGTGGGTCTGCACAGCCATGAGCACCACAGCGGTGAGCGTGGCAGCAGGTCCTCAACATGTCCAGCTCGGAGCATCCCTTTGGCAAGGGGAGAAGCAGGTGAGCAAAGGCACACACACACCTTGAGCGTGGCAGCAGGTCCTCAACATGTCCAGCTCGGAGCATCCCTTTGGCAAGGGGAGAAGCAGGTGAGCAAAGGCACTGGCACACACACACCGGCTGCTCTGCCCGTGTTGGGCTCGCCTCTGTGTGGCACTTTGTAAATGTCATTTGGGCTGTAAAATGTCAACTTGATGCCTTTCTTTCTAAGGTGTTTTCAGCAATGTCTGCTCCAGAAACATGGCCGAGACCTGCCAGCTAACAGGAGAAGACAGACTTCTCTTGTTCTTCTCTGAGAGCACTTTCCAGCCAAGGATCTCAAAACATTTTGCCCTGCTTAGTGCATCCCACAGCAGGAGCTTTGTTACCTGAAGCCAAACTTGATCAGTGAGTTCCCACCTGAGCCAGGCACTGCTACCTTCTGTGCCTCGTGCTTTGCCGAAAGCTGGGGCAACCTCTTCAGGAGAAACTCCTGGGATGTGGCATTCACAGCCCTCAAGAGAGCGAGCGGGGGGACAGATGTGCTGCCCAGCCCTACGAGAGGAGGAGAAGGCTAGAAAGAGGTTCCTAGAGGAGGGCTGAGGGGTGACAGCCTCTCACTTTGCCCTCTGTGCAGAGAGGTTGAAGAGTTGCTTCACACACACCCCTTCAAGCAGCATGGTGACTTTGCAGCCAGGAGATGATGCTCATAAGGGAGGCAGGCAGGAGAAAACCAAACCAGGCCTGTCCTGGGCTCCCGGGCAGAAGCTGTGGCCAAAGTGTTAGCTGTGGCTGCTCACATGGCCAACACAAGGACCCAGTGGCCGCTGCGGTGGGACAGTGGCTGCACCAACACTCCATGCCCACCTCAGCGCTAGAAGGGAAACTGAGGCACACAGCAGCGGTGCAGGGATACTGAAGCCCAGAAGCTTTGTGGCCCCTGGTGCCCCATAGGTCACCCTACCGTTCATCAACCCCCATGGTCCCCCCGGAGGTGGCGGGTGGCTCCCTCTTGGACCCGCTGGAGCCGTGATGGGGGGCAAGAAATCAATCCAGGAGCAAAATGAGCACCCCCGAGATGGCCAAAAAAAACCCCATCCCACCATGCCACCCCACCTTCAGTGGGGCAAGCACTGGTCGGGCCCGGGGAAGGGAAACCCCCCCCTTCGAGGAAAGCGGCCCTGCCCCCCCGCCGACCCCCGGCCCCGCGTTGGGCGGCGCGGCGCTCCGGGCGGCCGGGGAGGCAGTGCTGCGACGGTGCCTGGCCCCGCTCGCCTTCCTCCTCCTCCTCCTCCTCCTCCTCCTCCCCAAACCCCCCCCCGCTCCTTCCTCTGCCTCCCGCCCGGGTCGCCTTCTCGCCGGCTCCGCGCTCGTCGCCCCTTCCCCGCTTAAGGTGGCCCCCGCGGGATGCGCGGCGCGCAGGAGCCGGCTGCGGGCGGCCCTGGACGCTCCCCCCACCCCCCGCCACGGGGGTGGCCTTAAATCGGCTCCGCGCCGCGCGTAACCGCATCGCCGCTGCCGCCGTCTGAAGGCGGTCGCCGAGCAGCTACCGGCAGCACCGACGGGCCGGTCCCCGTCCCGGTCCCACCGCCCAGGGAGGACACCCCTCCGCCCGGCGGCGGGCGATGCTTCCCCGGCAGCCTCCGGCATCTCCGCCCTGACCGGCGCATCTCGCCAGGTAAGCGGGAACACCCCCCCCCACACACACACACCGGGGACACCAGGGTTTTGGGGTTGCTCTGGGGGGGGCAGCGCTGGGGATAAAGGGGTGACCTTGCCGTCCATCCCCCACAACCCCAGGGTACCCGGGGGTTGGCACCGGGAGGGGTAGCCTTGCCCCGCGGCCAGCAAGCCGGGTCCCCAAACTTCATCGGTGCTCCAGCTCCCGAAGAGGCGGCGAGCTTCGCGGGGAGCCCCTCTCCTCGCACACAACCCCAGGCCTGGGAACCTTCCCCATTCCCAGGCTGGAATTTTCCAGCTGTGGGGGAGATGCCCCCCCCAAGTCCCGGTGTCTCGTCCACCCGCGGCTGCAGCAGCCACCGAGATCTCCGGCCAGGTTACCCAAAAGCGGGTCCCCGGTGGCCCCCTCCCCACCCCCCGGAGGTTTTATCGCCCCTCTTCGTGACAGATGCTGAGGAAGCCGGAGCATAGAGGGCGGTGGGGTTTGTGCTGGAGCACAGGCAGCCCAGACCCCGGACTGGCATCCCAGTGAGCAGCTCCACGGAGAGACTGGGAGAGGGCAAGAGCAGGGGGGCTGGGGAAGGTCTCTGCCCCTCTTCACTCCCGCCGAGGGATGCACTTGCTGGTTTTCTCTAGCAGGGTTTGGAGGGGAACGTTCCTAGATGAGTTGGAAAGTACTCTTTTTCACCTTCCTGCTCCTGCCACTCGCCCATCCAGCCCAGGGCCAGGGGAGAGGAGGGGTAGGCTCAGCAGCTAGTCCATTAGAGGGGGGGAAAATACCCTCAGGTGCTGCAAATCAGGAGAGAAGCAGCTGGTTCCTCAGCGACTCCTTAGGCAAACTCACCAAGGGGCAATTTCTGCGCACGCTTGGGAGAAAGCTGGGCAGCACCAAGCACCACCATAGCTGGGCAATAATGACAAGTAATAAATACCCATCAGGCAACTTGAAGCCCACACAGCTCAGCGAGGAGCCGGGGAGCACGAACCACGCAGCCTCTGCAGGTGCTTTCAGCTCCTTTCCTGGACTGAGAGGAGGCCTCCTTGTGCAAAGCGTGTGTGCAAGGAGTACAGCAGGGCACAGCAGCTTTGCACATGAGTCTGGTCACCCACCCCTGCTTGGGGCTCAAATCTTGTCCGGTGCAAAGGGGAAAAATGGATGGATGGTGAGGTTCATGCCTTGCATCCCTTCACCACCAAACAGCCTCAGGCAGGGCTAGGAATGGGGCCTGATAGTGAGTTGGGAGATGGGTGCACGGAGACAGCAGGATGGGATCCTCACAGAAGGGCAGCCATCGTTACTCCAAAATGAGATACCTTGGTAGGAGATTACAGGGTGATCAGGTAATAGAAAGGGTTACAGGGCAGGAGGGGGGCACTGACCGAGCTGCGTGTGACAGCCTGTGTCACATCTGTTTGCAGCCACACGTGCTGCCAATCCCCTTCTCTCCGTGCATTGAAGCGGATGCAGGGGCCGGGATGGCTTTTGGTCGGTACCTGCTCCGTGATTTCCTGGAAGCTGTCCGTTAGCAGGCACTTCTGGGACACAGTGTGCCTCAGCACCGAGCACTTGCTGTGTGTGAGCTCCTGGGTGTGAGCCCAGGAGCCCAGTGGCTGTGATTCCTCCCCTCCTGCCCTCCCAGGAGTGACTTCAGTATCACTTTCAGAACACTTCAGTCTGCACTAAATTAAGGCTCCGCAGGGCAGTTAATGTAACAGAGGTAGATAAGCAGTCAGTGTGTAGCACTGGGTATTTCAGGAATTGGACGAGATCAAATTAAAGCTCTTGGCTTCTTTGACGTTTTCAGTGTAGTAGTAATAATAATAATTACAATAATTGATAAACCATTTAGGCAACCTTGCAATCCCAAAGCAATTCAAGCGGCTGACACCGAGCACAGCTGAGACGCAGCTACCTTTAGAGCGAAGGGCCTCATCCTGTCTTGCAAGACAGTTAGAGCCACGGCATGGAAAGTAAAGCAATTGAGCTGAGGACACCTGCTCCCATGGCAAGGATTTTTCACTAGGCAAGGCTCCCGCACCTTTGGGCTTTGTTATGGTGTCACTTGGGAAGACTGTTGCCTAGGGAGCTGTACAGAGCTGTACAGCAGCTAAATGTATGCAAGAGAGAATAGACTTCTGAAACGTACAGTCCTTAAATTCACATTATTTCCATGGTTTGGGAATGTCTTTGGGATTAGTGCCCTCTAAGAGCATCTTCCCTGCGGAGTGTCTGAGGTGGTAGTGGACAGCTTGAGGCTGTGTCTCCCGTGTGCCCAGCATCCTTTCTTCTTGCTTGTGAAGCATCGGGAGAAGTGCTTTCTGGCAGGGAACGTCCCTCTGCTTCAGCAGCAGACCAGGAGATGTCCTTAGTGTCCGAGAGCAAAGCCGTACCTAGCAGGCAGCTTGCTGGCAGCAGCCTGGAGTGGATTTGCTCCAGCAGTGCCCTGGGATGGCTTTCCTCCCCTCTTCACCACCGTAATCACCTGCACTGCACAACCCCCTGTTTCTCGGTGCCTTCGTAGCTGTAACCCCTGCTGCCCCTCTCCCTCGGGTGCTGTGCCTGCTGGCACTGCAGGCACAGTCACCTCTGGCTTCCCACCGGTGCCTCGGGAGGCAATGTTGCCATCCCAGCCATGAGGAGCTACCCCACAACCCATCCACCTCCTGGAGCTTCTTCCAAGGCCTCTTCTTCCTCCTCCTCTTCAGCACTCCCAGTTGTCTTTCCTATTCTAGCAGGGCAATATTTGGGAGCAATAAGGTGACCTCCTGACGTATGCTGCAAGCCTTCATATATATGCCTGCAAGGGATGAGATATTTGATAGGGTCCAAAGATGCCCTTTACTGAGCATGCAAAATTGCTCTGGGAAAGCTCTGCAATCATTCTGCAGGATGTACACAGGAAAGATGATATCTGTCCCCTTCCTCCTTGTATTTAATTGTTCCTAATAAAAGAAGCCTAAAAAGCTAGTAATAAGCCAGACTGGAAGTCAGGTCCCACACACCTGCAGAGCCCTGGAGAAGTCTAGAATCACTCTGCCCTTTCTCCTCCTGGCCTTTCTGTCTAATAATAAGCATTGCGCTCGTCCACGCCGCTTTCCCATCCCGAGATCTCAAAGTACTCCACGTATGTGATTAAGAGCACTCCCTGCCCACATGCAGAGCTGTTTGTCAGGATGACTACCCCCACTTTCCAAGGGAGACACTGCAGCTGATAGCGTCAGAGCTGAGACAGCCCCAGATCGTCTGTCTCCCAGACGAGGCCCCGGCATCTCTGAGAAGCACTCGCTGGAAAGCAGCTCAGCCTAACAGGACTGTGATTTAAAACCTGCCGGTACCGTAAAAGACTAATAAATACAGAACGTGGATGAGACCTGTGGCCGTCGTCACCCTCCTTTCAGGCACAGGCATGACTGCCTGCAGGCTGCTCTTCAGAAGGGACACTGGTCAGAGCCCACCAATTCCCTCCAGGTTGGGGTATGTCTCCAAACTGCACCCCAGCCTGTGGCCAGCACCCTCATGAAAACTTGGTGCCTTCTCCTTTCATGCTGTTTTAAGCTGGGCAGGCTCATAATTAAGAGCTTGAAGTCTCTTCTAGCTCACTCTCATGTGACATTAGTGCTCCCGACGGTCTTTCCTTAAGAGCTCGAATTTATCTACTTTGCCAACGTTCCCAAGTGTTCAATCAACTGCCTTGTTGGCTTCCTCCGCCGCGCAGTGCGGAGGGCTGTCTGAGATCCCCCTCGCTGAGATGAAAACATCACACTCTGCAAATTCCTCAAATTTATACAATGTGAGCAAAGTTTCCTCAGGAGACACAGCTTCCCAGGGCTGTGACACGGAGCTGGGATCCACAGCTTCAGCACGGGGACATTTAGATTCCACTGGCCATTTGTCCCTGCTTTGAGCAGGTAATCCCACAAATGCAGATCCCAAAAGTGCAGATCACTGGGGCAAATTTTTATTTCCATGCAGAAGCACAAATACACGTAGGAAGATTCATTACGGTGGGGCTAGTTACCTAAGGGAGACAGACAAAGAAGGACATCAGGGTGAAAACCAAAGCTATCAGCAACGTGGAACAGGGAGAATGAATGCCTCTCTACGTGGCTTTTCTTAGTTGAGATGGAGTTCAGGAAAATGCGAAAGGTAGCAATTTGATGATAAAAGTAAGTATTTTCCCCTGTTGTGCATAGTGACATACGGAACTCGCTGCTACGAGATGCTGCTACTGCTGAGTGTAGGATCTGGGGGGAAAAGGAGACATTTTGATGGATAGCAGATCATTCATCACTGGACAGGACAGCCCATTGGAAATAGATCTAAATCTTCAGGCTTCAATCTCTCACAATTGTCTAGCATAGGATTTCTTGTACCTTCTGAAACCCACAACATTGATCAATGTAAGAGAAAAAGGACAAAAGGAGACAGACGTGCTGGAGTGCAGATCACTGGGGCAAATTTTCATTTCCATACAAAAGCACAAAATATGTGTTTTCCAGCCTGTGTGCTGACACTTCGCTCTCATAGGCTTGGCTTTTATCAGCTGGAGCGGGTTCAGGTTAAGTTCTGATGAGATTCGAGCTGGTCCAGTGGTGCTTTCCCTGCCTGTGCTGTTGATTTTCATAGAGTGCCAGCATCTTGGCAACTTTCTGTGGTGCTGGTTTATGAATAATGCTGCATTACAAAAGAAATGGTATTGTCCTTTTCTTCAGATGTTACCCCTTGGCAATGAGAGCAAGGGCATTTATTCCCAGTGCAGCCAGCCTCCAGCCAAGCAAAGTGCTGGGATTACTTGGGAGCTGAACAGGGTTAGCAGTCAGACAATCTCGGCTCCGGATAAAAGATTTTAGAGTAGCAATGTTGTCTCGTTCTGTAAGTTCACAGTGGGTTTGTGTGTGGGAGTGCAGGGCACATGGGAATGGCGTTTTGCTAGCGAAGCAGGATTGCTCCTTTGTGTGGGAGAACTTGGAGAAAAAGCCAAGGACCAGGCGGGCAGC